CTATAATCAATTCACTTTTTCTCATATATATTAAAAGCAAAAAATTCAGTTTTAATGTTACCTTCTGGTATTTCTCCATCAGTATTATATTCACTGGGATCTGGATCAAAGTATGATAGATTGAAGTTGTCAATGTATTTTTGAAAGAAGTCATAGTCAATGTTTTCATTGCTACTGCTTGATTTTTTTACACTTGGGTTAAAAACATTGTTTGGGAGACGAGCAGTAGGATGATAAGAATATTTCAGAGCGACATTTTGTTCGTAGCCAGGATAACGAACATATGTAGTAATAACATTTGTATCGAGGTCAAGTAGGGAGAAAGTTTCATTACAGGCCAAAGTGGTGCAAATCAGAAGACTGAACCTAATGATTTGTGTTATCGACATGACGAAGAACAAAGAAAAATACAAAATTTTTAAAATGTAGAAATGCTTGAATAGAAGCCTTTTTATATCAAAAGAAATTGAATTAAAAGGCCAAAGGTTCGAGCAGCTTTTGATCTGCACGATTAGCAGTATTTCTCATATTTTTTTCTCTTACATTCAAGTTCCCAATCACTAACTCGATAGTTGATGTATATGCTTTTAATCCCCGACGAAAGCCTCATGAAAGGTTGCAGATAAATTGGGCATACAAAAAAATATGTTGAAAATAAATCCATTCATCAACGTGCATTCTCTTGTAGAGATTCGACAAGATTTTTTTTTGTCTCCATTTTTTATTACTATTAATTATACATTCACAAATATTATATAAAACTGAGATTCAATCAATTCACTGCTATTTGCAGCATTAAAATGACTGAAATTAAGGGAATATCTGTCTGCTCTGCAATCATAAATCAGAAAGAATGGAAGAAATGTTGGTTGGAGTATTATAATCGCTGATCACTGTCTAAAAAAAAAGAATGATTGAAAGAATGTGTCATAATATTCCTAAGTAGCTGTATGAAACACATCATTTTGTTATGACATATTCCGTATTTGTACAGGAAGCATTAAAAGAATATAATGTACAAAAATTGGTTGGAAGTTGACCAGAAATCCTGAAAGTGATATAGAAGGTGCAATACTTGAATGAATGGAAAGTGGTGGATAGTTTGCATTAAAGGATTCAATGAATTTTTAATCTATACAGTACTGAATAATCCTACCTGTGTTCTTTAATCAAATATTGGAACTGAATGATTTGCATATTGCTACGGAAATTTCTAATTAATTTCTCTTTCAACTAATTTTGCCATATAATATCAAATCATGGTATTTCATAAATATGATTCATTTTTCATTAAAGATATATTTGCACGTATATATCAAAAGTAAAACAAAATAAAATCTCATGAAAATGGTTTAAAAAATGGGCTGAAAGTCGAGATGAAGTAGAAATATGTGCCGAGCAATTCCTTTGTACTAAAACTTTGCGACCACAGCTTAAAATAGCAACAAATAGAATTGAATCGTTATAGCCATTTTGTAAGCAATTCAGGTACGCCTCGATTGTTTCCAAATGCTCCATTCGTTGCTTTGCTGTCTGGTAAATTTGACATTCGTCATCCCAATGATCGTCTTTACAAATGAACTAGGTCTTCGTATTTACAGTGCTGAATTCACCGGTAAGTATATTTAATTTTTATTGATTAAGGATACGACAAAATTAATGAAATAGTAATGATGATTGCACTATTAATCGCGACCA